AGAACGAGGGGAGGTGAAGACCTGACAGTGAGCCGGGCGAAACCGCCGAACACAGGAGAACAGTGGAGGAACGGGCAAGAATTGGGCCCTCTGACGGGTCAGCCAATCTGACAGGAAGAGTTGCAGGGAGTGGAGTGAGAGTGGTACTGTCGCGAAAGAAAAAGCGTGAAGCACCTGAGCCAAGCGTAAAAGTGTGCAAGGCCTCAGCAGGCGCAGTACCAGAGAGAGCAAACCCACTAGCACCTAAAGCAGCAGCCTCTATACCTGGGTCGGGCGGCACACACTGGTAACAGTCACCCTCAGCAATAACAGACAAGGCATACATAGCAGCAAGGATAGCATCATAGTCAAGAGCAAAGATATCAACTCCAGACCTAAGCAGCTCTGCCCCGCAAGGGCGCTCGACCTCGTCACCAAAATTTGCCCGCTAAGCGTCGTCTAGGCGGGAGAAACAGCGATGCTGAGTGTGAGGCTTCCCGCATGTCTGACCAGCACGGTCACCCGTGCGAATGACATACGGGCAACTAGCACTACCCCCAGATGCCCCACGCTGAGCAAACCACTCACGAAGCTGCTGGGATGAAGGGGTCTCGCTCCGACGCTGCTGCTGCTGCCTCTGGCCACCGCCAGAACCTCCCCGCTGAGTAGCTCCAGCCCGACTACCGCCACTCCCACTGCTGCCACTACCGCCACTCCCACCGCTGCCACCACCGCCGCCACCAACGCCCCCACTCCCGCCACCACTCCCACCGCTGCCACCACCTCCACTACCTCCACCACCTCCATTGCCACCCCCACTACCACCCCCGCTACCACCTCCACTACTCATGCCACCCCTGCCCTTGCTGCTGCGCGCTTCCCACTAGCAGAAGCAGCCCCGACATCCTCAGCACCAAGGACGTCAAAAGCAGCAGCAGCAGCAGAGGCGTAGGAGGGGGCAAGGGGGGAGGGGGAACACCCCTCAAAGAAGGGCATGCGAGGAGTGTCACGAGCGGCACCTACAGCCACTACACTAGTCTCAGCTGCAAGGAGGTCCTGCTCGAGCAGGTCATCAGTGAGGTCTGTGGGGTCAAGTGCGAGAAAGTGGTCCCTGACTGCGCGAAGAGAGTCAGGGAGGCGGGTGACCATGAAGTAGAGAGTGATGTACATCGGGAGGGGGGGTTCCTGTCAAGGAACTCTGCTGGGAGGGCAGCGCGGTAGCAAGCATCGCTAGTGCAAAGGTGGGCAACGAGGTCCTCTACTGTGGCAAAGGCGGATAGCTCGGGAAACTTGTAGGGCAGTACAAGACGGCCTAGAGCAGCAGTGGCAGGGGAGGAGTAAAGGGCGACTACAGTGTCGTACAGTGCTTTAGCAGTCTTGTGCTGTCCGAAGTGAGCGCATTCGGCTAATGGCAGGTGGTTGCGAATGGCTACGCGAGCAACAGCGTCACGGGTAAGCCACTGTGAGCGAGTCGCACTGTCAGCTGTGGCGGGAGGGGCGAGAGAGGCTCCAGACGTGTGGTCAAACAACGAAACGCTGTCTCTAGAGTCGCTCAGTAGGTACAGCTGTAAGTCGTCGAGCCACGTGTCGAACTGGATTAGACGGCCCTCATGATCGAACGTGAGTACACGGAGAGAAGCCATAGCGGGTAAAGCATGGTGGCACGCTACCAGCAGAGCAGCACGCAGGCAGGGCAGGGCGGCGCACGGCTAGGGTGGCCAGCAGCAGGGCGGGCAGGAGCTGGGCGGTGCAAGCAGCAGGGCGGGCAGTAGCCGGGCGGTGCAAGCAGCAGGGCGGGCACGCAACGGGGCGGCGAGCGGGCTGCCAGAGGGCGGTGCGCAAGCTGCAAGGGGCGGCGAGCGGGCCGCAAGGGGCGGCGAGCGGGCTGCAAGGGGCGGCGCGCAGGCTGCAAGAGGCGGCTAGCGGGCTGCAAGGGGCGACGTGCGGGCCGCAAGAGGGCGGCGAGCGGGCTGTAGGGGCTGCGAGCGGGCCGTAAGCGAGCAGCGGGCGGGCTGCAGGGGCGGCGAGCGGGTCGCAAGCGGGCGGCAAGCAGGCTGTAAGGGCGGCGAGCGGGCCGCAGGCAGGCAGCAAGCGGGCTGCAGGGGCAGCGAGCGGCCGCAGGCAAGCGGCGAGCGGGCGACAGGGGCGGCGAGCGGGCCGTGAGCAAGCGGCGAGCGGGCGGCAGGGGCGGCGTAGCGGGCCGCAAGCTGGCGGCAAGCGGGCTGCAGGGGCGGCTAGCGGGCCGCGAGTAAGCAGCGAGCAGGCCGCACGGGCGGCGAGCGGGCCACAAGGGCGGTGAGCGGGCCGCAAGGCCGGCTAGCGGGCCTAGGGGCGGCGAGCGGGCCGCAAGCGGGCGACGCGCGCGCTGCAGAGGCGGCGCGCGGGCCGTGAGCAGGTGGCGAGCGGGCTGCAGGGGCAGCGCGCTAGCTGCAGGGGCGGCTCGTGGGCTGCTAGGGGCGGCACGACGAGCTGCTAGGGGCGGTGCCGCGGCCAGAAGGGCGGCGCGTCAGTAGGGTAGGGAGGCAGGGCAGCTAGTGGGGCAGCTCTGTGGTGGACCCTAAAAAAAAAATCGGTCCTAGCGAAGGACCTGCTCTGAAACCATGTCAAACTAACGAACGAGAATGAATGCATTGAACAGAAGTTGGGTACAAGTACTAACCCTAATTGGGTTGTACCCCTTATGGGCTACCCCAATATAGCCTACACAAAGTAAGCAATATAACATTTTGACAAAGTGAAGGATCGTAGTGGATCGAATAAGTCTGCTAAGTCCAGGAAAAGACAATGAAGTATCTGTAATGACATTGTTAATAAATTTGAAAGAGAACAAGATGATTATAAAATAGAGATACAACGGTATAAATAAACCCTCATAGCCATGTACTATGAGGGGTATATTCCCGTATTAACTGTATTGCATAGCTACAGTAACTGAGACTATTGCCATTCTAGACAGTTACCATATTTCATCGCGTCACCTCTGATGCGGTTGCCGGATGGTCAACAGTCGCGACCATTGACTAACAGCGACTGTTGACCTTCGGGTGACTCTCAATATTCCGCATGCTCTATATGAGCTATTGCGGTACTGCTACAGACGCGTTGCTTCTTTATGAAGTGACGCGTGAGTGGAGATCCTTCGGGAATGTTACTTTGACCTTTCGGTTATTCCAACACATGTAAATGAGAAGACCTCCTGGATCATTGGTGTTTGGGCATCTGGCTAATGGTGTGAAGAACAGATTGAATATGTAGCTACCGAAAACAGTTGTCCGAATCACGTTGTATCGAAATATCCACGTGGCTTGCGCCCAATATGATCTATCCCTCAAGTTGAGTCACCTCGCACCGCGCTATGGTGTAGGCCACACCGCCCTCGCATTCCGAAGTCGCACGAAGGCGTCGCAGCATTCGGTCAGAAAGCTTGAGGGAATGCATGAAGGACTTTGCGGGTCGTCCAGCATAGGCTGAGACTATTCTGGTAACCTTATTAAGTTCGTTCGCCAATCGGAATTATCCACGCTGATACCTGCAGCGGAGTATCGAAGCGCGTGAACTTCCATGGTGTCACCGCTCCCCGCAAAGCTCCCCCCGGCAGGGCTTCCTTGTTCCCGCTCTCCCCCAAAGAGGACTTCCTTCCGCACATACCCAATGCCCGCTCCTGCGCCCCTATGTTTTCCGTGGAATCTCTCCCATTCACTTGATATGCGCGCACCCACTCCTCCCCGCGCACTTTCGTGCGCCACACCCAAGCTCAGTCACGATATTCCCTTTCCGTCAACTCCAACTGGTTGCGCGCACGCGCAGTGTGTTGTCAGTGCCCCCTTACGTGTTCATTGCACATGCTGTAAACAGCCATCCCCGTACTCCATCGCATTCCAACCTACATAAAACCACTTAGCCTCACCCCACCCAGCTAATAGGCGGATATCCAACCGTGCGCGTTATTCAACCCGTACCTCCTCCCTGCTGGATCACCTGCTACACACATCGAACACCTTGTCTTCTCTGGTCATCCGGCCACTGAATGCGCCTTCCCACTTCCCCCTCTTATCCTCTCTCACTAACTCACCTTACATCGATCTTAGCCGACGTCTCTGGACTTTCGTGGCTAGAGATCAGCTAGCCAACGAGTATTCAGTCGCACAGCAATTCGGACGCCATTTGCTGTGAATGTCAGTGCACGCGATTCCCGGGAATAAGTTGCTCGTAGCGACGTTGCAACCTCAACAGCTAGTTCGCGCCACCTGTAAATACATTTCTAACTGCTGCTCAGAACGGCGATTGAAGCATACAAACTTATTATTTACCTTCTCACAACCAATTCTCGCGTCGCAATCACCTGCCTCCTCAGGGTCATCGTCATTAGCCCGCCTTTCACGGTCCCTCGCGTCCTTTTCTTCCTCGCTTGCGGCCTTCCCTCGCGCCGCGTGCGCGAAGCTCACGCGGCACATGTTCGGGTCGCAGCCCATCGAGAGACTACTAGGCGCTCCGGATGGGCCGACGTCCGTCAGCACCTCCGTCTGCACGTCGTCAGCAGTCACGGCCGCGGCGGCCGCGGCATGCTGTCTGCCACGCAGGCGCAGCATATCCACGATTGACCGCTCACCGTCGAGCGACGCCGCTCCCAGATGCTCCACGCGTGCCGCTATCATCATTGGCCGGAGCGTGCGACGGGCAGCCGCGGAAACTTTTCAGCTGACCAGCCTCACAGTGCAGCTCCTGCAGTTCCTCGGGTGCGCAACTGGAATCGCGTCGCTTAGGCTGATTTTGAGTCGACTCAATCGCGTCGCTTAGGCTTACCAAGTTACTCACTCGCGACTCCCTGCGTTTCTATTTTCGCAAAAAAATCGTGACATTTCGCACCGCCTGTCTCTGATTTTCGCCAGACATCTCACAACGCCGCACCGACGATTTTCCCGCCGCTTCCTTGCCTGTCTCGTGCCGCTACTCCTACGATTCGTTACCCTGCTTCCCTGCAATCTCGGGCTCAACTGGGATAACCAGGTTTCTTTGTCTTTATGCCTTACCCGTTTCCGTGCTCCCCGCGTTACCCTCCCACACCCCTCTCTCCGCCTTTCCCGCTCCCCCGCATTCTCGGTCTCAATTGGATGTCCAAGTTCTTTCTCCTTCATGCCTTCCCCCTTTCCACGCTCCGTGCGTCATGCCTTTATTTCGTGCCTCTGTTTCTCTCCCCTCCCCGCAGTCTCGGTCTCAATTGGATGTCCAAGTTCTTTCTCCTCATGACCTACTCGCTGCTGCTCATGCCCGGCTTCCTGCAAGGTAACCCTCTAGCGTCATGCGAAAACTTGAAGGTAACAGTAACCCTCGTTCCCCGCGACCCCTCCCCCACCTTCCCGGCCTCCCTCCCGCGCCCCCCATCCCTCCCCCTCCGCCGGTCATGTGGTGCTACTTCTTCTCCCCAAACCCTTTTTCGTTCCCCGCTTCCACCCACCTCCCCTTCCCCCCCACCTTCATCCCACCCCTCATCCCCCCCGCCAGTCATCTGGTACTAAATCTTCTTCAACCCTTAGTCTCGTTCCCCGCCTTTCCTCCCCTACCTTTCCCCCTCTCCCCTTCCCCCCGCCAGTCATGTGGTACTATTTCTTCTCCCCCAACGTCCGTCGGAGCATATCATACGGCCGACTGCCGCGCAACAGGTACGCGTTCTTCTCGTTCATTCCCCTTCCCCAGCTCCTCTTCCCTTCTCCCCCTCCCCTCTCTTCCCCCTCCTTCCCTCTTCTTCCTCTCCCGTTTCTACTCGTCCCGTTTCTAAGGCGTCCCTTGACTCTATAATCAGTCGTCCTTTTCCCGTTTCCCCTTTTCCCCGCAACCCCCCTCCCCCTCCCCCTCCCCCCTCCCCCTTTCCCCCACTAGCTTGGATATATTCGTCCCCGCCAGCCCCTCCCCCCGCCCTCGCCCCGTCGTCATCTTCATAACCGGAGGCGCGTGGATTATAGGCTACAAGGCGTGGGGCACGTTATTAGCACAGGCGTTAGAGGAGCGCGGCGTGATTGTAGCGAGTATAGACTACAGGAACTTCCCGCAGGCCACCGTTAGCGGCATGCTCGACGACGTGACACGTGGCATCGGCTGGGTGCTGCAAAATATCCACCGGTATGGCGGGGACCCGAGTCGCGTGCACCTCGCGGGGCAGTCGGCCGGAGCGCACTTGTCGTCCGTGGCGATTATAAGACAGGCTCTTATGCGCGCTTCGGAGGCACCGCCGTCGGAGCAGCAGCATAATCTGTCTCCTTTCGGTAGCAACTTGCAGCAGCCGCAACAACAGGAGCAGCAGCAGCACCAGCAGCAGCAGTTGGCGATGGAAGGCGAAAGCTCGTGTTCAGGGGTAGTTGTTAGTGTAGCAGAAACAGGTGCAGGAAAGACGGTGATTCGTTATCCGTCTGTATCCCTTGCTTCCTTCCCACCAGCTGCTGCTGCTTCCGCGAAGGTTCATCCTGTCGACGCCTGGAGGATCAACGCTGCTGCCGCTTCTGCCTCTGCCGCTGTCACTATTTCTGACGTCCCCGTTACAAGTTTCTCCGATTCTGCCGCCCTCCCCGTTCTGGCCACTTGCGCCGACTCTGGTCTTCCCGCGTCCCCTTTCCCCCTCCCCGCCGCTGCTGTCTTTCCACCCGTCGCTTCCGCCGGTTCCCCCGCCGACCCGCAAGCAGCGCCAGCCGCGGAAGGGCTGCGCGCGGAAATAGAGGCGGCGGCGGAAGTGCTGCGCGCGGAGGGCCTGCGCGCGGAAGTTCTGCGCTCGGGGAACGCGCCGTTCCGCTCGCTGTCGATGCGGCGGCTGCTGGCGCATCTGGCGGGGAGTGGCGGAGCGGAGGGGAACGAGCCGGGGAGGGGCGTGCTCGACGTGTGGGGCAGCGAGCAGATCAAATCTTTCATTGGCGTCTCGGGATGGTGAGCTGGACACGGGGGGAAAGGAGGGGAAAGGTGGGAGAGAGGGGTAGGAGAAAGAAACGGGAGGTGAGATGGTTGAGGTGGGTGGGGGGGAGGGAGGGGGGGGGGGGGGGGGAAGGGGGGGGGAGGGGAGGTTGGAGCAGGAGGAGTGTCGTGAGGTGTAGGTGCTGCTTCTGTGCATGGTGGCATTCTTTTCTCTGCAGATTATGAATGCTTTGTTGTAGAGATGAATGCTAGAAGTTCACAAAGAAGAAGAATAACACAAACACAAACACAAACAAGCAAAAAAACACAAACACAAACAAAAAAAAACAAGCAAACAGAAACAACAGTCCCTAAACTTTTCTTATCTTAACGAAACTGATTTTCAGTTCCGCCTCCCCACGTTCATCTCACCCATCCGCTATCTCCTGCTTCCCCTGTGCTCACTCCTGCCTATGTCTCCTCCGTCCCTCTTCTCACCTCTCCCCCTCCACCTTCCTCCCCCTTCCCTTCCCCACTTTCTCCCCCTCCCCCAGCTACAACCTTATCAACCTGGCACCGCAGTTCAAGTCCAGGGGCATAAACCCCTACCTCTTTTAAGGCGACTCAAAAGTCACTTCCTCTGCTTTCCCCCCAAACCTCCCCCCTCCCCCCTTGCCCCCCACACCACCCACCCACCCAGCTACAACCTAATCAACCTGGAACCGCAATTCGAATCCAGGGGAATGAATCCCTACCTCTTCCTCTCGTGAGTCACCATGGCCACTCAAGTGTGTCTAGACGCATCATCACTAATCAGTTTCTAGAAAGCCTTCATTGTTACTTTATTGTTTCAGTCCCTCCTCCTGTCTCGCCCAATCCCTTCTCGTGCCTTTACCATTCGCCTTCTCACCCCTCTCCAACCCCTCCAAACCGCAGCATATTCGAGGGCGAGGAGTCTCTCCCCCTCTTCTCCCCCGAGCTCCTAGTCTCCCGCCCCACCTTCAAGGCGGCCGCCCCCCTGCTGCCCCCTGTGCACCTCTACCACGGGGTGGACGATATATCTGTGCCCTTCACTGCCAGGTAATATATGCATGTTTCGGTCTCTCGCCCCACCTTCAAGGCCGCCGCCCCCCTGCTGCCCCCCGTGCACCTCTACCACGGGGTGGACGATATATCCGTTCCTTTCACTGCCAGGTAAGACTTATAGTCACATTACAGTCACACCTGCTGTCCTTCGTGCACCTCTACCCCGGGTGGTCAATATACCATATATCTGTTCCTTTCACTGCCTAGTAATAGCTATACCCATTTACATATGTGCATGTTCACCTGTCATAGTCACGTCTGTTGCAGTCACACCTGCCGCCCCCCTGCTGCCCTCTGTGCACCTGTACCATGGGGTAGATGACTTTTCCGTTCCTTTCACTGCCAGATAAGACTGTATAGTCACACCTATAATTGACACCCTTCACACCTGTTAGTCACACCTATAATTGACACCCTTCACACCTGTTAGTCACACCTGCCGCCCCCCTGCTGCCCTCTGTGCACTGTGGATGACTTTTCCGTTCCTTTCACTGCCAGGTATGTAGACGCACATACCACAGCTGCACCTCTTATAGTCACACCTGTTACAATCATCCCTTACCGCTCACCTTGCCGCACCTTACCTCATCAGATTTCCTCCTTGCTTGTGTTTGGCATGGCATGGTATGGCATGGCATGGCATGGCATGGTGTGGCATCACAGTGAGGACTTTGGAGCAGCGCTGCAAACATCAGGGGTTGAGACGAGAGTGAAGCTGTACAGTGGCAAGGGGCACATCGACCTCACTCTTCAGGTAGTGCTTAGATGCTGTGAATGGCGTTGTAAGGAGTGCAGAAGGAAAAGAGTACTTTAAAGACGAGAGTGAAGCTGTACAGCAAGGGGCACATCGACCTCACTCTTCAGGTGCGATGAATCGCATTATAAAGGGTACAATCAAGGACAAAACTGAAGCTGTACAGTGGTAAGGAATACATTGGTCTCATGCTGCAAGAAGCACCTGTAACTGTCAAGGGGCACACTGCAGGCCCCATGCCTAAATCGAATGTCACTGTGGTGGGTCACTGTAGAGGGAAACATATGTTGGATACGAAGGAGCTTCCTTTAGCACAGCCAACAGAGCTTACTCAAGGCAGAGCTCCCCTCCCGCTTATTTCTCCTATCTCTCTTCCCTTTGTTTTCCCCTCCCTTTCCCTTTCCCATCATAGGATCTGTTTCGGGGCGGCAGAGACGAACTGGTGGAAGATGTTTTGGACATAGTGCATGGCGTGGATAGGCACAGCCCCAGCCCCAGCCCCATCCACAGCCACAGCCACCACTCAGATTCTGCCACGTCAGCAATGGATGTTGCAGCAGAAGCTGCATGTCCTTCAAGGCCTGCACCTAGTGCTTCCACTGGAGCCGTTTCTGCCTCTCAAGCCACCGTTGCTGCTGCATCTCCTGCTACTATGTCGCCTGGATCGGGTGGTTACGCGACGGTTCAGGGATCAACTCCTGCTGCTGTCATTGTTCCTGGAGAAATCGCTGCCCAGTGCCCAGCAGGGCTGTGCGTTGCTGGGGAGACAAATGTCAGTTATCAAGACTCTGAAAAGCTAACTGCGCGTGCTGGAGATGACATGCACGCTACCGCTGGAATGTGGTTGCCACGACCGGGAATGCAAGGGCCAGTTACAGTGGGGCCGAGAGCAGAAGCACTGGGACCAGAGCGCAAGTGTATGGTTCCCAAAGTGCTGCTGACTGCAGCTAAATTCATTAGCCCATTTTAGGTTTTAGAATTTGAGCTGAATGTTGATATTAGTGCTAAGTACAGCAGATGTGCTGAGTAGGAGGCTAAATAGAATGAAAGTTCTTGTTAATAGAATCGATGTTCTTATCTTAGGGTACATTCCGCTGTGGACCATGTCCCAATCGATGTGTCCGAATCGATTGTGACGCGGACGTACAGCATATGCTGCCAGGTGTCAGAATGCCGGGCCGCCCGTGGTTGTCGCCAAATGTATTTATCATTGGGTGACGTGAAACACGGAGCAGTCGCGAGCTAATTGCAACACATTCCATCAGTCGCACGCGGTGCCAAATGTCAACACATGCAGCATGTATCTAGACGACATCTCCCCAAAACCCACTATCCCCATCAACGCGTACACTGCGTAGTGATTGGTCCAGACGACACACCCGGAATTATTGACAGGGACGCGCACGTCCCCGCCAGCGCGCCTTCCCCCAGTTCCAATGCTCCTTCCCCACAACTCCTCCACCTCCCAACACCTTACGTGTTCATCTTCGTGCACCATCCTTCCTGTTCCAATCTGTTCATTTCTCTCTGCTCCCGCTCCCTAAAGATCTATATATAGAAGCACTCTATCCGCCAGCATGGCGCGTAAGCGTAAGGGGCAGGCCCTTAACGACTGCCCCAAGGATCTTAACGACATTCCTTACATCTGCTGGTTGAACCAGCAGATCGCCAATGGGCGCCATTCGAAGGGATTATCCGCGCCGCCCGTGCTTGACGGCCAGGGATCCAGTGCACAGTCGCCCAGTGCGGCCCCGTCACGTGTGCACCGTCAGCCCGTGCTTGACGTGTTAAACAGAAATAGTAGGGCCTAGGCTTAGTAGCCTAGGCCAAGGGGAGTCGAGGTGGTTTGTGCCAAGGAGGGGGAGACGAGAATCGAGAAAAGGAAAAATTTCACTATGGAGAGGGTCACAACATATAGGGCAGGACAAGGGGGGGTACACCACCAAGCAGGATATCAAGATAACTACACTAACGCTAGACCTACATGCAGTTATAACAGCATAATTCTGACACGACGGTCAGGGATCCAGTGCACAGTCGCCCAGTGCGGCCCCGTCACGTGTGCGCCGTCAGCCTGCAAGGACGGCTGCAACACACCGGCTTGTCGTGGAGCAAGATGCTGACGATGACGATGATGACGATCCCGAACAAGGCCTCGACAGCGACGACGACGAGGAGGAACCGGAAGACGCTGGGATGTCGCCCAGCGACGGCGACGACGAAGATGAGGACGCCGAGGACGACGTGGAGGAGGAAGCGCAACCTGTGTCTCAGCCGCCGAAACGGAGCGCCGCACGCGCATCTGGGACGAACAAAGGCAAAGGCAAGGCGGCGCCACCACCGCCACGCCAGGAGCCACGGAAGAAGCGGTCGGCTGCACCAGTCGAGAGGGGCTTATGGTCGGACAAGGAGAGCACCATATTCGCCGCGGCGAAGTGGTTCATGAAAGAGGAGCTCGAGTCTCTCAAGGGGAAGCAGGGGACGCAATACTGGGTCCGACTACTCGCGCACATCAAGGAGTCGAACCCTGGATGGTGCAGGGGTGTCAACGTGTTGCAGAAGCAGTGGCGTAACTTGACGCTCCTCTGGCGGGAGTACAAGCGTGGCGACGGGGGGTCAGGCCACGGCTCGGTTGAGAAACCACCGTGGTATCCGTACCTGGAGCTGCACAACCAGGACACCGCCGCAGCCGCACCGCATGCGGTGGACGGCGGCTGCGCCACGGACGTCAACGTGCCGGCCGGCATGGAGGTTCCAAGTTCGTCTCAGCCAGGCACGTCAACACCAACCTTTACGGGTGAATCGTGCTTCTATCACCTCTAGCTTGATATGTGTTTGACTTATCGTAGTTTGAATACGAAGAATCCGTTTATTTTATTCGCCAATATGCAGGTTAAATCAAACAAGGGTAGTCAGACTAATCGATTCTACTATTTTCCCCGCTCCTCTATCACAGCTCCGCCGCCGCCGACCACCGCAACACCTAGGCGCGCACGGGTGCATGAGACAGCTACCATGCAAGCAGCCATGCTGGTCTCCGCGACCATCAAGGATTGTCACGGTGACGCGATGACGCGCATTGAGAGCCTCGTCCGTGAATGGATGGCGCAGGACATGCGACTTGCCCGCGAGCGCATGACTGAATCGGCGCCCCCGGACGTGCACCGTGCGCCGCCGGATTTCAGCCCTCCTCCACCACGCGGGGAGTCCGCACCACCTCCCGAAGCCGCACAGCATGGCGACGATGTTGGCGACGTCAACACCGTCACTCCGGGTGCTGAGGATGTGGAGATATGGGTGCGCGGCGCCGACGATTAGCGTAAGAGTCCTGTAGGGCCTCACCCAGTCTTTTCCGCCTCTCTCTCAGAGCCTGTTGTGTTGGGGGAACACAGGGTTCCCACTTGTGTGTCGCAATGGCACCCCGTGTCCACCAAGGGTCGCGGTTGCGGGGCAGATTGAACCAGACCATGTTCTTGCGCCTTACGACTGCCATCTCTTCACACATGTTGTGCGGGATCACACAACACGCGGCTCCTGCGAGAATGCGCCACAACCTGCAGTCGTTGCGCCCACCGAAGATACGCCATCTCCCTTTGAAGGCGCCGATGCACCTTTCCACCGCCATGCGTGTGGCGCTCTGGCAGTAGTTGAAACATTGGGCCCAATCGTCCATTAGGTCCTCTCCGCGCGGAGCATGCAGGGGGATTAGGTAGTATTCTCGTAGCGGGTAGGCCGCATCCCCAACAATCTGGTATGGGGCTATGTCCTCGTTGTGTAACCTCTCAAGTAGTGCAGACTCTTTGAAAACCCGCATGTCGTGCGCGCTGCCGGGATAGCCGATGAGGTAATCCCATATCCTGCCTCGTGCATCACACGTGATTTGGAGCTGAACGGCGTAGGCCGACTTCCTTGTCCAGTACTCCGCCCTGTGCCCTTCCATCCCTTTCATGTGGATGTGAGTCCCGTCCACAGCCCCCACCACTGCAGGTACACCTTTGATGGCAGCGAATTCACGCGCCATCTCGGGAAGTTCATCGCGTGTGGGAAAGCGCACCCAGGCGGCCTTGAAGACTGAGGGGAACTCGGTGAGGAACACGTCAACAAGCTCGTGGCAGAGTGTCTTGGAGACACCGAACAGGTACGACATGTCGACGTATGATATCCCACTCGCCAAGTACTTTATTGGGATGAGCAAAACAATGTCCATTGTGATTATCGACCGATGGACGATGGGCTCTAGATATTGTCGCATCCCAGACTTTACATGCTCATGTATGGCGCGGTTGATCCTGAATATGTCGTGGAAATCGTTCTCCCGCATGTGCAGCAGGTCTTCAACCCACAAAGCATGACGTCGCCGCCGTACACTCGCTCTGTGACGGCGGTTCTCCCCGGTGTCGTCCCCGGACGATGAGGACTGCTCGTCCGCGTCCTCAAACACACCGGACTCTATGAGGCCTACGAAGGACTTCGCGACATTTTCGTAGAAAATGGTGTAGTAGTAGGTGACCCAGACGACGAGGAGGCGTAGGATGAAGGGGATGGCTCTAGGCTCTGCCATCATGCGTGGATTATGCGTGTGTAGTAATGGTGTCTGTGCTATGTTTGATTATAAAAACTCACGTACTAGAAGAGGAGTTGCAGATGTATGTGCCGTTGAGGCAATTATTGGCACTGCGGAGGAGTACTGTACCCTCCACGGCCTCCCTGGACATCACCAAGGATCTACCGCGGACCTGGAGGTGTTGGTGTATGTGCTGCGCAAGGACGAGTGGGCATGTTTATTCTCTGACCAATCACAAACGTTCGCACATAATTGTCGCGCGTCTGTACAGAGTCGCAATACATCGATCGATTGGGACATGCAAACTCGAGACATTTGAGTGCGACTCGGGCAAATCGTGATTGGGACACATCGATTGGGACATGGTCCACAGCGGAATGTACCCTTAATATTATGATTGAGAAAGCTTGCTTTCTTATTCTTATCAATTGGCATCGTTCTCATTACAAATGGTTGTTTACAACATTTGCATCACAATTGAACACAAGCTAGTGCATGCTCATACGGTATCACTAGCTACGATATACCCTATCCAAGTGGCATGCGCAAAACGGTTTACGCTAGGGTGGGTGGTGGGAAGGTTGAGTGAGCCGTTTGAAAATAGAGAAACGTCGGTGGAGGAAATGAGCTCCAACCCATGGTTTTTGTAGTTGGAGAAGGGCGTTTAGCGCGCTTCGACGATGCCGATTGTGCAATACAAGCAGCTTCGCTTTCACAATACACAATTTTGAAAAACACTATGTGTGATAAAAAATTATAATATTGAGAAAGCTTGCTTTCTTATTCTCATCAATTGACATCATTCTCATTACAAATGGGGTCTCTGAGACATAGGCAGCGGGGGCCTCCGGTTACGTACGAGTGCCTCTGTGTGTTGTGCAGAAGTCACCGCATGCGTCGGATCTTGTAGGCTGCGGGAGGCTTTGATGAGAGGCTCGATGTATGGCGTGACATACATTTCCTTTGCTGTGTCGCTTCGCCATCTGCCCAGCCGTTTGAAGACTCTGTCTGGCACTCCAGTGTTGGCTGCTACTGTAGCTGCGCCTTTTCGGAAAGAGTGAGTGCCGAGCTGCAGCTCGCCAAGGCCAACCTTTGCGAAGGCTTCCTTGCACCAGTTGCGGATTGTAGTGTATGAAGGTGGCCTCGTCTGCCCTTTGCTAGTTGAAGCATGGCCAAAGACGCGAATCAACGGTCCTTCTGACTGAGGGCCATAGCCGGCGAGTTTGATGAAGCGTCGGGTACAGCGCACTGGGCAACAGGGGTCCGCTGTTGCTGCAATGGGAATCCATGTGCCATGACCGGCCTGATCAGTCTTGGAGTGTGGTATGAGGATCCACATGACCTCTTCGTCGAATTGAATGTCTTGCCACTTTATGGCCACTAGGTCGGAGTATCGCAGAAATCCTGAGTACATGAGGATGGGGATTAACCCTTTCTGGAATTCCGCAGGGTCGTCGGACCGCAGGTAACTGTCGGCCATGTCTCGGACTTGTTGGATCGATACGGGTTCCTTCAGACGAGTAGGGCGAGGGCAATGTCGTTTTGCACGGTCACGCACTTGGGTGGTGAATGGTCCGATTGTCGGGCATTTGCTCCCAGCCATGCGATGGGCGAAGCTAATTGCCGAGCACGTCAGCTGCACTACGGACAGGGTGGCTTTACGTCGGATTGCGTGTACCAGGTATAGTGCGAGGGTCATGTCAGAAGCTGGAAGAAAAGGAAGATGCACTTTTGTGCAAAAGTCTCGAAATTTGGCCCAGTATGGTTCGTATGTCCGGATCGTAGAGTCAGCGCGGGATTGTGCGAGCATGTTAATCAGTTGGTCGTGTAGCTTCGGGGGCAAATCTGAACACAGGCGCATACACTATGAATTAGTCAAAAACCACCCGCAGTGCAATGATTGGGCTGTGCGGTAGTCCCGTGCCCGAGAAGGCAGTGGAATGGGAACCTACATCTAGACATTGGCTTCCGTGTGTCAGGGGGATGTGCGCATGGATGTGTGGGGCCCAAGTGCATGGGGAGGGCTGCAAAAGTGGCCACCAACTTGCGCCTGGCCAGTGCGGTACTATCAACGTGAGTGATGCATGGGTGCGTTGTGCATGGTGTAGGACAGCTGGGACCAGTTGTGGTGGGGGAAAAGCGAAATTGTTTTCGGATGTCCATGCGATCGAGAACGCGTCAACTGCGATGGCTTCCGGGTGGGGAATCTTTGTGCAGGAGCGCGACAGTTGGGTGTTGCGGGAGTTGGCAAAGACGTCGATGGAGTGGGGACCCCAACGACGTTCCAAGATGCGGAACCACGGCGTTTTCAATGCGTAATCATCGTAGTCGACCATTTTTGAAAGCTCGTCGGTGTGTGAGTTGAGCTCGCGCGGAATCCATTCGATGATCAAGCGCGTGCCGAGCTCCATGCATGTACGGATGATGCTCTTGCAGGCCGTTGTGAGGTCGGGGCTACGAGACCCGCCTTTGCGAAGGATGAAGAATACGCCCTGGTTGTTCACACGCACGAGAACGTGTTTCTGCTTGATCTTGTCGGCGTACGTTTGGAGCGCCCAAAGGACACCTTCGATCTCCCGCCGCGTTCTAGACGTTGCTCGTAGCGGCTCTGACATGGTTGTGCTAGCTTCTTCAAGGCCACCAGGGAATGTGGTCAGAGTGGCACCCCAACCGTGAGAGCTGGCATCCACATGGATTACTGCATCGTAGCTATTCCGGACGTGAAAAGGTGCACCGTTGAACCGGTCAAACTCCTCAAGCCAAAAGTGTAGCTCCGCTGCTGCGGATGGGGGAATGACCACACTGCTTTTCCATGACGGTGCATCGTTGATCACTTGTAACATGGCGTGGCTGAATGCACGAGCGGTCGCGCCGAGTGCGACACCCATTGATGCGAGCATGCCTGTGATTCTGGCCAAGTGGCGGACCGGGACTGGTCGGCACGCATTGCTTGCGCTCAGGAGGTTCTGGATGGTTGAATGTAGCGCGGCTCGTCGGTCGGGACCGATGGAGAATCGGCCGGTGTCTATCTCAAGTTCTACACCCAAGAATCGGAGGCGTTGTGATGGTGACAGCTGTGATTTCTTCGCGTTTATCACAAAACCTGTCTCTTTAAGGTCCAATATCACCCGCTGGCAGATTGCTTGGGCATGGGCTTTCGACTGACATATAAATAAAATGTCGTCCACGTAAGGTATGACTCGGATGCCTTGTTCTCGCCAACGCCGAATTCGAAGCCAAGGAACTTCCAGCATGATGGGTGGATGTCGATGTGGTGGTATCCAGACTTGAGGTCGATGGAGAACATCCAGTCCCCAACGCATGCCAGGTCGGCCACACGGCTGAGCCCCTCGTACTTGAACTTGGGGACAATCAAGTTGGCATTGACTTTCCTCAGGTCAAGAATGAGTCTGCATTTGTCTTTTTACTCGACCACGTTTAGTGGACTTATGCACGTAAGCTCCGTTGCGGGCATCGGGACTGCTGCTCCGGTCTCTATGAGTTCTTGGATGGCGGTACGTGTGAACGTGGCATGCGTGTTCGCCCCGACATGGTTGCGATCGTGGAAGGGCTGTGGTGGGCCGTGACTCCATGGCAGCCAGTAGCCTTTGGCGATGACGGAGAGGACAAGGCTACAGGGCCACCATGAACTCCACCACGCAAAGGTCGCACGAAGCCGACCTCGCATCTGTGTAATAGTTTTGTCCGTAACGGCGAATTCAGACGGATCGTCGTAGCATACCACCTCGCACCGTCGTGCTCCTGTGTAGTGGAGGCAAAATGGGGTGATCATTGGGTGTTTCATTTCAAAAAATCCGTATGCATGTACGAGCAACCATTTATCAAGATGTGAACAGCATCGACAATCTATCAAAATGTCAACGAGTATGTCGGATACGTGCCGGCGCTTCTTGTTTCTCTCCTCGCAAAAAACCTCCTCTTTTTTTTTTTTTTTTTTTTTTTTTTGCCTCGCCTCCTCGTCCAATCGATATGACATGCCCTTCGATCATTGGAGGTTGATGCCTAGGAGCATGGACACACTTGTCCATCGTGCTTGATCTCGTTACATCTCTTTCTCTCTCTCTCTCTCTCTCTCTCTCTCTCTCTCTCTCTCTCTCTCTCTCTCTCTCTCTCTCTCTCTCTCTCTCTCTTTCTCTCTCACATTCTTTCCCTTGCTCTTTACTTCATGAAGGCTGATGCTTGGGACCATGGACATGCTTGTCCACCGTGCTATATCTCGTTCTCTCTCACTCTCTCTCTCTTTCTCTCTCTCTCTCTCTCTCTCTCTCTCTCTCTCTCTCTCTCTCTCTCTCTCTCTCTCTCTCTTGCTATGCACCTCCTCTTGATTTTTTAGAGGGACTTTGCCAAAATCAGTGGGCCTTTGAGAAGGAGTTATTTATTAATCAACCAACACACATAGCAATGCTTTCCTAGCATGCATCACGCCACCGAGTGGCCAACTTCATGGGACCGAGGGGGTTGTTGTTCCCCTTCCCTATCCTAGGCCCAAAGCCTATTTCTACCCTTCACTAGGGCTGGCCTCTTGCCATCGCAAACCCCTAGGGTTGCCCACGGGTTTCGCACTCAAGAGTGCACCGTGCCTAGCGCGCAAGCGCCTAGTGCCATGGCCCGCTCCTACACCACCGGAGCGGGTCCTTGGCCGCCATGCCCGTTCCTAGGGCAGGCACTTGCCACGTGGCCCGGCTGGCTGCAACGGAAGCACGAGCCCCGAAACCCACGGCAATTGGCCATGGGCGGGGGGGCCCGCTTGGGTAAGAACGTCATCGGCACGTTGTTTCCGCCGCGGTTGACACGAGCGTATCCGCTTGCCGCCCGGTCCATCGCCGCCATGTCCGCGACCGCCTGTTTGAAGGGTCGAGAAGTCAGCAGGCTCTTCTGCTGGTACAACTTGAAGCGCTTCGCCGTGCGGAAGTCGGAGGCGTCCTCCACTTGAAGCACCTCGAAGCGCCCCGAGATGAGGTTGAGAGCGTGCGAGATGAGTTCGAGTCCTCCCGCCGGGTCCCCGCGCTGCGCCTTGTATTCCGCGTGCAGCAGGTACGCGCGCAAGTCCTCCAGCAGCTCCGCTTGCTCTCGCACGGAGTCGTTGACGAATGTTGCCGCCGAAAATGTGAGGTTAGAAGAAGGGAGGGGGGGGAAGGTGTTCCGTGCCATTAAAATTAACATTGTTGACTGGAGCCTCACCGGCTTCATCTTCAGAGTCGTCGATGTCATTGTCGGCCGCTGGAGCAGGGGGCGATGCTGTCGCTGCGTCGTTGTCGTGCCGATTCGTCCTTGCTACCCGCGTGCCTTTTTCCCTTTTCGCATTTTCTTTTTTAGCCGACGCAGATGCAGCGGGTAGTGCAGTTTCCGCGGCTGTAACGCTGACGGGCTGCTGCTGTAGAAGGGATAGCAGCGCGTTGACCTGGTCCGGGGTCAGCGCCTGCGTCAACGCAGGGGCGGTCGTCGCGTCAGACGAGGAGACCGCCGTCCGCCTCCTCTGGCGCTGACGCGACGGTCCAGCCGCGGGTGCTGGCGTGTGCTCGGCGTCAGTGGCGTGTGCCGCGCCAGTAGCCGTCGCCACTTGCGCCGCAGGTGCCACTGGCGCCACAGTCGCCGAAGGGTGCTGCTGGGCGTCGCCCCCTTTGTTGACCTCGAGCCCGCCCAGCAGCACGTCCACTGCAGTCGGGGCGGGCGGTCCATCTTCTGCCCGCCGCTTGTTACGGCGTTCGCCCGCCAAATCGCGGGTGTTACGGTCGGAGTCGGAAGCGGGGTTGGACGAGTTCCCGTTGTTAAGTGTCGGCGTCGGTGCCATTGTTGAGCGATTGAAGTTAAAAATGTCGCTGAGTAAAGTCGAGGGTGACTCGCCTCTAGGAAGCGATTTTGTCCTAGCCAGCTTGGACGGAGGGATAAACTACGTGAGCGGAAATGTTGAGTGAGCCGTTTGAAAATAGAGAAACGTGGGTGGAGGAAATGAGCTCCAACCCACGGTTTTTGTAGTTGGAGAAGGGCGTTTAGCGCGCTTCGACGATGCCAATTGTGCAATACAAGCAGCTTCGCTTTCACAATACACAATCTTGAAAAACACTATGTATGTTTAAAAATTATAATATCAATGTTACGAGCTGCAGATGCAATACTCTGGCAACTGGCTGATCCCAAAGCTTAAAGCTGTTGGATTTAATAAGGTATTCTCTGCCAGACAGGAGCCTCTGCTGTTAGAGATATCATCTGCTACTGGTACTGTAACCCAAGCCTAATGTTCAGGAGGATAGATGCAGAACATGTGATGAACCAAACGGTACAGTGCACACCATTCACTAGGAAATTGTACAACTTTCCTGACTGGACTAGCCTTTCTCAGGCTAGGTAAATGTCCTTAACATATGCATGTTCCTGGGCGCAACAATCACATTCTTTTAGTTCAATGAATGTGTAGGTGGTTCACTGAGAGATACAAGAGTCTAATTGAAGATCTGTATCCTGGTCATTCGCTTCCACTCATGTGTGCATGAGTGCAGAAACGAGGACTACCAGTGGATGCTGGGGAGGGGAGAAGCAGCACAACCTAAGCCCGCTTGCATTCGCAGGTGGACAGTCAAGGGACTGAGTGGACTGAGGACGCAGCTTTAAAGATCACAGGGGGAGAGGACAGAGTGCATCTCGCTCAGCGAACAAGCTGAGAAAGGGAAGGGACTGAAGGTTAGGCCAGACAAGGGCGAGTCAGGGAGTAAAACAGGTGACAGGATTGGTTTGAGGATCTGGATTGGGAACACCCGCAATGGGCTGCTAAGGTAAGCACGACTAACAGAGAGTGGAAGGTGAAAGGTGAGAAATTAACAGAAGGAACACAGAGGGAACGACAAAAGAGGTTGAGAGATAAGGATGAAGAACAAGAAAAGAACGAGTACGAAGAGGAACCAGGTAAAACGCGAGATACAGGTAGCGCGACACAAAGCAGGCGAACGGAGGGGGGAACTGAAAGAGGGAAGGAGCGGGACAAGGTCAAGGGGAAGAGGAAGGAACACGTGAGGCTGCGTGGGTAGAGCGGGCACAAGCGTGTGAGAGCGGTGGGGAAGGGTGCACGCGCTCAAGTGTGTCTGCTTTGATGGTAAGCAAGTGACTGCACAATTTTAGGAAAAACCGGTGAACACTTCATGAAAGCCGTCAATACAGAGGAAGAAATCCATCAGGTACATAACTGACACCTAATAATCGTGACGAGTAAGAAGATGAGATAAGAGAACCCCTGCAGGGGATAGCTGACAAGAGTGCTAAGACTGCTTCCTCTATTCAAACCTTGGGAGCAGCGACATTGACCCGCAGTTGTCTGCCGTCAACATCCTGAAATTAAGGAAAACAGGAACACAAAGGCAAGCACAAAAATAAAGTAGAATGAGCATCAGGGGTTCACTTAAACTCTACCGGACAGTTACGCCGGCCTTGAAACAATCAAATCTAAAAATCAATAAAAGACTTGCAGATTCAATCCTACTATCGGCACTTACAGCTCCGTCAAGGTTCGAGATCGCCTCCTGTACTTCCGCGTCGCTAGACAGAGTCACAAAGCCGAACCCTCGGGACCTGCCGGAGTCGCGATCCAGGACGACCTTTGCCTCGAGGACCTTGCCGAACTCCGCGAACAGATCCTCAAGAGCCATGTCGTCCATGCCCCACGACAGGTTGCCGACGTAAAGCTTGTTGCCCTGGTTTCCGCCGCCGAAACGGGGCCTCTCGCCACGTGGCCTCTCGGTGCGAGCACCCCTCTCGCGCTCGCCGCGGGGAACGGGCATGTTGACCTTGAGCATGCGGCCGCCGAGTTCCTGCTCGTATTAACGGCAATTAAGAGAAAACAAAAACGATGAAGATTGCAACACATATGGTCGTCTTGATGCCCAAAACATTAGCATCTGAACACTCTATTACAATGTGAGTAGTAGTCCACAGAATATTGACGACTGCCGACTACATAAACACTTAGAACCCTCTCTTAAATCCCGAAATTACTAAATTGCTTTCTCATATTGAACCACTTATGACATAAGTGCCTTGATAGACGAAAGGTTTAACTCACCGAGCCGTCGTACTTCTCGATGGCCGCCTGAGCCTCCTCAGGGGTGCTCATCGTGACGAAACCGAAACCCCTGCTGCGGCCAGAGTCCCTATCGTAGATCACCTGCATGCACACCAGCAGTAAGCATATAAAATCGGAAACCGGAGTCCACTGAGGGTTTAACAAGAAAACATGAGTATCAAAATCGGACGCAATCAACTCTCAACCAAGACGGTGAAAAACTTCAAACAGGTCATTAAGCCTTCCAGCTCTTGGCAAACTGATACTTCAAGGGCTTAAAAACAGCTATCTTACCTCAACAAGCTCCACGACACCAGCCTCCTGGAAGATCTCAGCGAGCGACTCGCTGTCGACGTTGAACGGCAAGTTGCCGACATAGATCTTGGTGCCTGGAATCTCGCGAGGAGCACCGTAGTTTCCGCCACCCTGTACATCCTCCGCGACCGCTCTGACGACAACCGAGCCGACTCCCTTGAACGAGGCCTTAGAAGCAACGCCAGCAGACTTCCAGGCAAAGGCGGGCTGCACGGCGAGGCTGACGGACCTCTTGAGCTTCGACTCCAGCTTCACTGAGCTGAAGGTGGCACGGCACGAGGCCGTGGCGGTCTGGGAAAGAGTGACGGCAGCCATTGTAAAAACTGAAGCTGGTGAAAATCAAGGGAAACTAGGAGCCCGCAAACAGAGGAGGCAAAGGAAAGCTGCAAACTTGAAAGGAGAGTGGAAAAAGGGGAAAAGCAGATAAAGAGTGAGCTGAGGTTGTGCATGGATGGGAAAGCAGAGTGGTTTGAGGCGATGAGTGAACTGACGACTTCTGTTTGCGAGCCGACGATTACCGTCTGGTTGCTGACATGGCTCCCTCGAGGATTTCGTTCAGTCAATTCTGGGGAATGGGGTTGGCTGGCAGAAGGAGTCAGCTGCTGGGCTTTCCGTGGAGATGTGTGGATCATCTGTGTCCGCAGAGGAATTGGGGAGTCTCATTCGCAGTTGCAGGTGGCTGTTGCTGGGCTGACGAGGCAAACTGTTCGTTGAACGCGGAACACTCGGATTGGTCAAGCGCACTTTACTTCCCGACGTGGAGCTCTGACTGTACCTTTTTCCTTTGGCAATCGCATGGTTGGTGATCGTCGATTTCTTGCGCATCGACGAGCCAAGCTGCGACAACGAATTCGCCTCGAAACCTGAAAGACAACATTCGGATATGTGGGCGCGAAAGGAGAGCCGACGTGGGGCAAAAATATCGTGTCACAACGGTTCTCTCACAATGGATGAGGTTTCTAGCAACTCGATTGGAAAGCTTCGTTACCATCGAGTTCGGATGTCGCAGATGCGGATACCGTAGGTACATCTTCTTTTGAGATCTGAAATCTGAATGAACAAGTGAGGTGAATCTAAGCATTCATAAAAGGCAAAATCCATCCTGTGTCATACCAGCTTCAGACGTGGAAATAGACGCACAGCATTCTCACATGTGGTCTTGGCCACTTCAGCAACAGTCACACCATGAATGCGAGCTATTTCCCTACATGAGACCACAATATTGCACGGCTCATTGGTTGCACCCTTCTCAGGAGCAAGTGCAGGAGAGTCCGTATCCAGCACAAGGCACGAAAGAGGAAGGCCCTTCACGAGTTTCTGCAATTAGTCCACAACGCACAAACAGAAGGAAAATATGCGTGAAAGCAGCTTGAGTCGGTGCCATACAATCCCACACTCATCATACCACCTCCCGAACACACCAACCTGCATGCCCAGCAATCACTTGAGGATACACGCCCAGATTCACCTGCTTTTGTGGTGACCGGACGATAGAAGGTGGCACAGAGAAGAAGAAACCGCCATGCCGTTCAGCCCGTTCGGCATGCACCAGCCGCCCATCAAACGCATGCATCAATGCTGCTGACGTGGCAGGAAGCCCTGATTGGATAATCTCCTCTATGGCGTGGTGTCCCGCGCTGCGAGAATGGACATTGACTGGCAAACCCAGCTCCTCTGCTAGAGAAAGTTGACGCCGAAACACCTCCCTCTGCACTCTCTTGAGTTCCTCTGATTGCAAGGCACTTATTCCGCTGCTACTATTGCTGCTGCTGCTGCTGCTGCTGCTGCTGCTATCACCACCAGTCGACTTACCCACCACATTGGGGCTGAAATCAAGGCCGATTTCGCCAACGCAAACCAAAGGCACTGTGGATCCTGACCCCTCCTCCACTGTGTCTACTGAAGCGCTGACACCTTCCATTTCCTGCACTGTGATTCCTAACCTTCCCTGCAGGCCACATTCCGCCTTGGACCGAATGAGATCCAACACTGGCTCCAGCTCGAACAACTGGACGGAATGAGACAATGCTGAAGATGACGCTTCGTTACTGCCTGCTGACGTGGTGTCCACGTCAGGCGGATAAGGTCCTGGCTGGACTGGGTGCAGCCCGATAGCAGGGGCGATTCTCAATCCGATAACGTCCGAATTGTGCCGAGCCGAGGCAGACGGCTCGGTTTGGTTCGCTGGGTGCGAGTTTCCAGGTTCGCATTCTGCGGGGAAGATGAGCGGATGGGTTCGAGCGAGAGCCAGCACCTCGTGAGCGTCTGCTAGGGTTTCCGGAACTGTGACGATGTGCGAGACGCACGCTGCAGCAGCACGGCGGAGGAGAGGGAGGAAGTTGGTGTGGGGGAACTGAGAAGGGTAGGTGTGTGCGTGACAGTCAATGAGCTGGAAAGGAGGGTCTGACGTGGACAAAGATGCATCTGGCGATGGAAGCTTCCAGGAATCCACGATACCGTCCATATGAGTTCTCTGGTAGGATCAGGGGTCACTGCGACTGTGTATTACGATCCTAGATAATAAAGTTGCCGTATCTGGAATGCCAAGAAGGCTGCGACTCTACCTTAGAGGCTAAGAGGGGCCAGCGGCTGCTGTCAGGAGGGCCGAATTTTTAGAATGGTTTGAGTTAGGTTCCTTACCTGACAAAGGAATCACGGCACATGGAGCTGTACCTCTCCGCCTCACGGCAGCCATGGATTCTACCGAGACCCTGGAACTCGCCAATGTACCACCCATTGTACGACATTCCCGCTAGCAACATAACCATTGAGATCGTCTTCTCTCAGGGTACCTGTGGATATTTTTTATATGTTCAAACACAGAACATTCGTCCCTATCCCCTGAAGACGAGCAGAAGTCATGGTTTAGGGATTTCCGTGCAAGGTTTTTTAAATGTGGCGTTCCCAAGGTTTCAGGCTACTTTCAATCCCTACAAAGGATGTTCAGTTCGTGCTTGGTTTTTATTATTCTCCAGTACTGCACTGGCTCTGGTGGCTGTTTTATCATTATTGCTCGATGGCTCCTCGTGTTAAGAAGGCTGCTGCTGGTGCTGTCACCGCGGCTACCGCTGCTGCTGCGGCTGTTGCTGCTTCGTCTGTCAGAACATTATATAGCTTATGCTGTTGTGTAGGCTATAGTGGGGTATCCCATAGGGGGTACAACCCAATTAGGGTTTTCTATATGTACTCACCTCATTCATAGTTCATTCATCCTCGTTCTTCATTCTTCTCATGGTATCGAGCAGGTTCCCTCGTGGGAACTGTTCCTAGGGCCCACCGTTTTTTTTTCCTGCCCGGAGCGCACTCTGCCCCTACCCGAGTCGCGCTCCCCTCTCTCTTGGCCCCTAGTGGCCCCTTTAGCCGCCCGTCACGGCCCTTAGACGCCCGCGCGCCGCCCGTCCCGGCCCCTTAGACGCCCGCGCGCCGCCCGTCCCGGCCCCTAGACGCCCGCGCGCCACCCGGCCCGGCCCCTAGACGCCCGCGCGCCGCCCGTCCCGGCCCCTAGACGCCCGCGCGCCGCCCGTCCCGGCCCCTAGACGCCCGCGCGCCGCCCGTCCCGGCCCCTCGACGCCCGCGCGCCGCCCGTCCCGGCCCCTCGACGCCCGCGCGCCGCCCGTCCCGGCCCCTCGCCGCCCGTGAGCCGCCCGTCCCGGCCCCTAGACGCCCGCGCGCCGCCCGTCCCGGCCCCTAGACGCCCGCGCGCCGCCCGTCCCGGCCCCTCGACGCCCACGCGCCGCCCGTCCCGGCCCCTAGACGCCCGCGCGCCACCCGGCCCGACCCCTAGACGCCCGCGCGTCGCCCGTCCCGGCCCCTCGACGCCCGCGCGCCGCCCGTCCCGGCCCCTCGACGCCCGCGCGCCGTCCGTCCCGGCCCCACGCCGCCCGTGAGCCGCCCGTCCCGGCCGCGCACCGCAGTCCCGGCCCCACGCCGCCCGTGCGCCGCCCGTCCCAGCCGCGCGCCGCCGTCTCGGTCCCCACGCCGCCTGTGCCGCTGAGGAGCTGAGCCGCCCGAGCCGCCCGCACCGCCCGAACAGCCCGAGCCGTGCTGCCCCTCAGCAGCACAACCGAGCCGCCCGACAGCAGAGCAGCCGAGCCGCCCAGCAGCCGAGCCGCTCAACAGCCGAGCCGCCCAGCAGCCGAGCCGCCCAGCAGCCGTGCCGCCCAGCAGCGGAGCCGCCGAGCCGCCGAGCCGCCCGGCAGCCGAGCCGCCGAGCCGCCGCGCCGCCCTCCTTCCGGGCCGCCCGACCTGTCCAGTCTGGTGAGCACAGCGCCCTTTCACTGCACTGCCCTCACCCTACTGTTTGCGCTGCCAGTCGTCTAGGGTCATGGCTACCCCTAGTGTTCTAGTCTTTGACGCTGAGGGTCGGGCCATTGACTTTGAGGTCTGGGTGGATGACCTGCAGCTGTTCTTACAGTGCGATAGGGCAGATGGTCTCTCTCTCTTTGACCTCACCTCTGGCGCCTCCACTGCCCCTGCTGCTGACGCCGACGCAACTGTTCGCTCCCAGTGGGCCACGCGCGACGCTGCTGCACGTCTTGCTGTGCGTCGCCACCTCCCTACCTCCGAGCGTGCACACTTTAGTCAGTACAAGAGTGCTCAGACCTTGTACGACGCTGTAGTTGCGCGCTACTCCTCCCCTGCCACTGCTGCACTGAGCCGTCTCATGCTACCGTACCTCTTTCCTGACCTTGCTGCCTTTCCCACAGTCGCTGACCTCATTACGCACCTCCGCACTAGTGACACTCGCTACCGCGCTGCACTCCCTGCTGACTTCTGCGCCAAGAACCCCCCCCCCATGTACATCACTCTTTACTACATAGTCACTCGCCTTCCTGACTCCCTTCGCATAGTCAGGGACCACTTTCTCTCTGTCTGTCCCACCACTCTCACTGTTGACCTCCTCGAGAAGTCCCTCCTAGCGGCCGAGAAGAGCATAGTCGCTGTAGGAGCCTCTCGTGGTGACCCGCGCACCCCCATCTTTGAGGGGTGTTCCCCCTCCCCCCTTCTGCCCTCTGTTGCCTCTGCTGCTGCGGCCGACCTCCTTGGTCTTGAGTCGGTCGGTGTGGCGTCTGCCCCTAGTGGGAGACGCCGCTCTGGCAAGGGCAAGGGGGGCAAGGGCGCTGGAGGAGCGAGCGGGGGCGGTGGAGGTGGAGGTGGCGGCAGTGGGGGGAGTGGGGGTGGCGGTGGGAGTGGAGGTGGGGGTGGAGGAGTCGGTGGCGGCAGTGGAGGCGGAGGTGTCGGCGGCGGTGGCAGTGGGAGCGGGGGTGGCGGAGGTGGCGGCGGCGGAGGCGGAGGTGGAGGCGGCGGCAGTAGCGGAGGCGGCGGAGGCGGAGGAGGCGGCGGGGGTGGAGGTGGTGCTGGTCGCGGGTCTTCGCAGAGGAGTGGCTCCGGTGGTGGCTCGCGCCAGCAGCAGCAGCGTGGTCGTGACACCTTGTCCCCTCAGCAGCTTCGTGAGTGGTACACTGCGCGTCAGCGAGGTGGGTGTTTTGGTCCGTGCTCCTACGTTTTGCGCACCGGCGACCGTGCGGGTGAGCAGTGTGGGGGTCCCCACCCTACTCAGCGCTGCTTTGGCCGCCTGACGGACGCGTGGCGTCACCAGTTCCCGGAGGCCTCAGAGATCCCTCGTTGGGGTGACCTGTCCAGGGCGGGTGTTGCCATCTATGATCTTGACTTTGATGCTATTCTCTCTGCCATGTATGCTGTGTCTATTAGTGATGAGGGTGACTGTTACCGGTGTTTCCCGCCCGATCCGGGTATTGAGACTGCTGCTCTAGGTCCTGGTGAGGCTGCTGCCCTAGGTGCTTGCGACGCTGCTGCCCTAGGTGCTCGTGTGTCTGCGTCCTCAGGTACTGGTGAGTCTGCGCTCTCAGGTACTACGTCGGCTTCGGCCTCCCTCACCTTCACCCTTGACTCTGGGGCGTCTCGCTCCTTCTTTAGGGACCGCACCACACTCACACCGCTGAGTCGACCGGTTGCAGTGTCTCTGGCTGACCCCTCTGGGGGTCCTGTCCTGTCTCGCTTCTCCACAGTCCTCCCGTGTCCGGCGGCTCCCTCTGGCACCCTGTCTGGTCTCTACCTCCCCTCGTTCTCTACGAACCTGGTGAGTGGTGCTGACCTACAGGATGCGGGTGTACACCAGTTCACTCCTGCGCGCCAGCGGGTGACGCACTGTACAGAGGCTAGCACAGGCCGACACCTGGCTACGTTTACCCGTCAGCCGGGGTCGAGCCTGTACACACTGACCACTGCGTCTCCTCCCGTTACTGAGTCTGGTAGAGTCGCTTCGTCGGGTCAGGTGTTTGCTGCTGCGTCCAGGTCTGGTCCTGAGTCTGCCCCCTGTTCTTGTCGTCTCCTGTCTCACGAGACTCTTCTCTGGCACCACCGTCTTGGTCACCCCTCTCTGCTTCGGCTCAGAGGCATGGCCTCCCGTCTTCTAGTGTCTGGTCTCCCCCGGTCCCTCCCTCCCCTTCCTCAGGGCCCTGGCCCTACCTGTGTCCCCTGTGTCGAGGGGCGCCAGCGTGCTGCCCCTCACTCCTCCCAGTTTCCTCCGACAGAGGCCCCGTTGCAGACGCTCCACATGGACGTGTGGGGCCCAGCCCGCGTCCGTGGGCAGGGTCACGAGCGCTACTTCCTGCTCGTTGTTGACGACTACTCGCGTTACACCGCAGTCTTCCCCTTGCGCGGCAAGGGTGATGTCACTGAGGTGCTGATTGACTGGATCCGCGCAGCTCGTCTCCAGCTCAGGCAGAGCTTTGGCTCCGACTTTCCTGTTCTGCGTCTGCACTCGGACAGAGGCGGAGAGTTCTCCTCTGGCCTTCTGCGAGCCTACTGTCGTGCACGAGGCATCCGTCAGACCTTCACGCTCCCGGACTCTCCGCAGCAAAATGGGATTGCTGAGCGCCGCATTGGCATGGTCATGGACGTCGCTCGTACGTCTATGATGCATGCGGCTGCCCCCCATTTTCTGTGGCCGTTTGCGGTGAGGTACGCGGCACGTCAGATCAACCTTCACCCCAGGGTCTCCAGGCCGGAGACCTCCCCAGCCTTGCTGTGGACCGGGAAGGTGGGCGATGCGTCGGCGTTCCGGGTCTGGGGATCTCGGGCGTTTGTCCGCGACTTGTCTGCGGACAAACTGTCCCCTCGTGCTGCTCCTTGCGTCTTCCTGGGGTTCCCCCCAGACGCGCCTGGGTGGCAGTTCTACCACCCCACCTCTCGCCGTGTTCTGTCCTCTCAGGACGTCACGTTCGACGAGTCGGTACCCTACTACCGCCTCTTCCCCTACCGCACTCCGTCCCCCCCCCCGCCCCCGCTCTTCCTTGTACCAGGTCCCCCCCCGGTAGACCCCCTCCCCCCTCAGGGTCCTGCCCCTTCAGGTGTGTCCCAGGTAGACGCAGTCGAGCCTGTCGAGGTCACTGGTGACTCTGGTACTGCTGGGGGTGCTGAGCCTGGGGGTGCTGGGCCTGG